GATGCTCACAGTCTGACGAAATTCCTTTAGCAAATTTGTTGCATGATATCAAGTGCCTATCAATGACAATGTCGCCCTACTGGCAGTCTTCAGAGTTCTACGAAGTATGACGTAGTCTTTTTTAAGCAATCCAGGAAAGAATAAGGGTGAACAGTAAAGAAGAATAGGTAAGATGAAAGAGTTGATAAACTGTAAGAGGAGTGGTTGGGTTATGCCTGAGCGCCTCAACTTCTTAATGTTAAAAGTCAGATGAAATTTTCTTTTAGAAATCGCTAAGATATGGGAGGACCAGGATAGGTTAGTGGAAATAATTAATCCAAGATACTTAACTCTAGAGTTGATTTCTATATCACTATCATCAATTGTGCAACGGGACACCAGTCTCAGTAAGCAAGGAAGTGGAAGACTTCCCCTGACATACAAGTTGGTACCGCTTTCTTCCTGAGAAATAAGAATGCAGCGAACAAATCTAGCCGCCTTGTTTAAACTGGAGACAATGTTATGATGCCAGACTGCAGCTGCATCTAAAGTATTTATAGGCGAATTTTTTGTGATAGTCAAAGGCTTTAAGTGAAGGTTGAAGATTAAGTAAGAGTAACTTTTCCATAGTTTTTAGATTTTAATAGATGTACCAGTAGATGACCTACGTGTAGGTACAATTTAAATGTCTTTCCAAACGGCTGGCACTACATTTCTGGAAGAAGATTCATTAAATATGTCCATGACAGGATAACACAGAATATCTGTACTCTTTTTAAGAATAAGGCTAGGCAAACCATCTGGACTTAGGCTACAGGAAGGGTTCAGCGACTGGAGACATTTTAGAAAATCATTTGTATTGAAACCAAGGAAGCAGGTTTCATTAACACTTGTAACACTAGAAAGTTTAGCATTTGTTGGGGAATGAATGCATGAAAGACTTGTTTAGTGTACACACACAACAAAGGAATAAAGAATACTATTCATTTGCTTACCACCAGTAATTTATTTGAAAAGTTTCCATATTTTAGAGGCATTTTTTACAGGATATAAACTTCTGAAGATTTGCTTTAAGACTAAATATAAATTTTTGTTGAGGTGAACATTGTAAGCATGAGTTCTGCGTGTTGGTTACTTGAAAGGATTTGAGATCATCCACTCAGTTTTCATTATAATAATAAGATTAGTGGACGGGTTATATTGTTTTACAAAGATAGCTACTATATTTCTAAATGGTTCATTTTGAATGTTTGACATGACATTTTCAGTCTAGAAAAAGATGCTTCTTATCAGCGCATATGTTCGCTGAAATTACAGTTTACAAGGAGTGAGGCAAGTTGTATAATGGGCAGCAGACAATAAAAAAATAGCACAATGGGGATATGACAAGGTAAAGGTGGCTTAAAAAATGTCATGCCAGCCCTAAGGGAGGCTTGGATTCGACTCCCCACCAACTCACTTCTAAACATTGCAGAGTCTGCTAGTTGATTATTATTTCCTTTAATCCCTAGAGGAACATAGGGCTTCAGCCGCACGTCTTTATTGCGTTTAGTTTTCTGCTAGAGTTTTCACCTGTCTCCAAGTCTGCCCACATGTTTTCATCTCTTCCTCACAGGAACTCCTCCAAGTCACCCTTGCACTGACGATCAGCTCGCTGCTTCCCTTTCGGGTTCCGCTTGAGCAATGACTTGTCTGGTGATGTCACTTGATGGTTTGTTTCCTCAGAGTATAGCCAATCCACCTCCATTTATTCCTACCTATTTGTTTCACAATCGGTTCCTGGTTGGCCCGCTCGCAGAGATTCCTGTCGCTGATCTTTTCTGGCCATCTGATCTTGAGTATTGGGCGAAGACATCTGTTGATGAAGGTCTGTAGTTTGTTTGAGGTGCCCTTCGTGATGCGCCAAGTCTCTGATCCGTATAGTAGCAGTGACTTGACATTGGAGTTGAAAATCCGGGTCTTATTTTTCATGCTGAGTGCTAGTTGATATTAATTCCGTAAAAGAGAAAAGGTTGGGTGTCAGTCAGTCTAGAAAACCTACCCATGAAACACCTCACTACTGCTACTAAAACTTCAAGCTCGCTGGACTATGTTTGACTAGATAATGCAAAGGACGATAGTAACGATGAAAAAATTGATGACTCACTTAGCTTATTATTCGTAGTGCATTCAGCGAGCACCTTATGATTGGGGACCTTTCTCAGATGAGATGTAATGTTTCCTTTATTAACTGGTTGATTGCCTGTATTTTGTTAACATCTACTCGCTGATGAACTCAACTACTTTTACAGTTGACCAATCAATACTTGGAGCCTTTTCAGCTGTTTTGTACGTCTGTTGAATATTCCACCAAATTATACGATTCTTATTCCCTTAGAACTTGCCTTTTTCTCTGATTTTTGTTATTTGATGAGTATTTATATTAGGCTGTAAAGTTTATAGTGATCGATTAAAAATGAACTGGCTGTAAGACTTATTGAAAATCATGGCATAATGGATAAGACTTTTGTTCTAATTCGAAAGTTTGCAGCACTTGTGGACCTTACAACCTTACAGGTGGTTGAGCCAAAAATCTTCGGCCTACAAAGTGACCATACGTTACCACTCAGTTATGTCATTCTGGAGTCAATGGAGGCTGAGAAACCAAGTGAAATAGTGGATTGGTAATGTCAACGTGCTCATTTAGTAATGTGAGGGTCATTCAGCTGGTTAACTAGCCAGTTCTTAGCCTAGCAAAAGAGGGAAATCTGAGTGTGGGTCTAGCTACCCCGATCCACGAAAAACAACCTGGTTGCTACGAAAACTTTGAAGCATAGAGAAAAATAATATGAAAATGGTTTTAAGTGTGCTTTAACTAATCTTTAGTTTCTAGTGGTATGGATTTTTAACGAAATCAACTTTAAAGGGAAGTGCATTTTTATTCTGAAGGAATTTTTCTACATGTATTGGTGAAACTTAGTAGAAATGTTTGGATCATCTCTGAGGTTAGCGTGTTTGTTGCTTTAAGGTCTTTTGTGATTGAACACTAGTGCTAGTAACTAGTGTCATGTGTCTAATCTTTTCGTTTATTGCAGACTGGATTCTATCAAAATTTTCAAAAGAATGGATACTGAACAAAGAATACTCTTTTCGATAACCCTTACATCATCAGGCTCTACAGTTATATATACATTATAGTGAATGAATGAATTAGTGTTATGAACAACATTAATGTTGTTTAAATAACATAGAATCAATAATATTATCGATGGATTACAGTTCAGTAGCGTCAACACAAAATAAGCTGAATGTCAGAAAAATTGGGGAAGATAATACTACAAATTCATGAGTTTATAGTCCCCACTGAATGCCAGGGCAGTAGTAGGGGCTAGACTTGTTTCTTCGGCACACAGAGCACTGGTTGTTTGATGCGAATTTCAACAGCCTCTGCTGTTTAGAGAATGCGGTGCTTCGATGTTTTTGGCAATTTATTAGGCATCCGGTAGATGATAGAGAAGGATTCTTCAGCGCTGGCGCTGTGGACGGCCGGTTTGCACCAGATGGGCCAATATTGAACTGTTAATGGTTTTCACTACACCTTTACTTAGCCATAGTGGGAGATATTCTTTAGTGAGCACGAAAAATCAAGTTCCTAGAGCAACGGCTAAGATAACTTGCTCCACAAGCGCAGTTGAATTGGTTGGTAGATTCAAATGGAAGTAGCTAGTCTGGGTACTTCATCTTTCAGTCAAGGAATCACCATCGGTCATGACCACCATACTACTAGGTAGCTCACCATCACGGTACACTGAGGATTGTTGCTATTAGATGGTTGAAGGCAATCGGCCACACGAAGCCTTCCAATTAGCTTTCGTGCTAGTCGGTGTTCACCTGTCAGCAAGGCATATCTGCAACCGCCTTGAAAGAAGTCATGCCCCTTTTGAGATTCGAATCCACATCAACCAGTGCTGTCTGCAGTCAGAGACGTTACCACTACTGAGCTATTCTGGTTCGCGACTGACCTACTGTAGGACTGTATTGAATACTAGTTAGTAACTAGTGTAATGTGTCCAGTTCTGTGTTTACTGCAGACTGAATTCTACTTTTTAAGGTCCTAATCATATCACATACACAAGCCCACCAGTTTTCTGTTGCCTTATAATTCTTATTACCCTAGTGTACTGATTCAATGCAAACACATTTGTTTTTTGTTGTTTCAAATAGCCTACAACTCAGCGTTCATCCTGAACCTAGATGCATTTTATTAATTGATTTTGTATTAGTGTGCATTTGTTGTTGCGATCACGTGTGCTTTTGTGTATTCACTCATATGCATATATATATATATATATATATATATATAAATGAGCATTAGTTGTGCAAAATAACAAGATTGAGTGTGAATGAATTAAATGATTTAATATCACATGAAAGATGTTCTCTTTGTTTTTTTTTTGCTTTTTGTTGTTGTTACTTTTTCATATCAACTTCTTAAATTACTTATTCAAAACGTGTTTGTTTGAGGCATAGTGCGTAGAACAGTTCTTTTTTTACATTTGGCTAATTTTATGCAAGTTTCGATAATCAACAAACACCGGTTGGAGGACCATTGAAAAACCAACATGGGAGTACTGCCATATAGCTGTATCGCTCTAGTTTGGGACTCTTCAACACTACGCACCCACTGGGACTCGAACGTAGGGCCTTCTGATGAAGAGTCTCAAACTGGGAGGAAACGGTTGGCTGTCAAGTACTCCCTGCAGATTTTCCAATGGTTCCCTACAAACCAATACTTGAAAATCAACAAACAATTGACTAAATCATCCGACGACTATAAATTGTCACTCTGTTTTTATTTCAACACTTGATAGGATCAAAATCGGGGTGCACCAGCACCTTACTTTGGATTGACCGTTTGATCCCATATGATCTTGCGAGGATGATTTTTAACGTTCAATGTTGCTTGAATTACTTCAACTGTTATTTTTGTTTGTTTCTTTCTTATTATGCCCTCCCCGCCCCCCCCCCACCGACCATCACAGCTGAATTGGGTGACTACTCACCAGAAGAATGTCGACCAGGTTATGTGAATCAGTTTCGTTTTGTACAAAATCAAAATTCCGAATTTGAAACACAAGCCTCTGAATGGCATCGTAAATCAAGGTAAGATATGGGGAGATTTGTGTAATTTTCTATCGTTGTAAATATACTTAATTGAATTTTAGATATTCCTGTCGATTGATTGCACCAAAGTGCTCGGTCTCAGGTTGACATGTCTGTTGGCTTCTTGTGTAGATAGTTTGATGATTTTTGGGCCTGTAATTATAAGTTAGTTGGTGGATGGTGACTAGCAGTGGAATCCAAGATAACATGCATTTCGTCCTATTTCGAACTGACTCGTCCTCTGGATGTACTTGCATTCTCTGTAACAACAGAAGGCAAGGGCCAGGCAACAGATCGTTTTATTACGGAAATCAACACGTATTTATATAAATTTCACATACATTATTATAGCCTAGTCAAGTAGACAAACGCAGTCTTCTGATTGGTTGTTTTCGAGTTCCTCGGAAAGTGGAGCCATCTATCTGCGAATTATATTTGCCCACGTTTAAGTTTGCTGTGATTGGTTGTTGAAACAGCCTCGTTCATATTTTCTCACGGCCCATATTAGTGACCTAGACATTGACGTAGATTAATGTCAACCAAATGGCTAGCAGGCTGCTCTCACCACATCTCCAGTCACTGAGTGATCATGCTGCCACCACCAAAGCTCGAATCACTTCCATTCAAATTCTAATAACATGACCAGACATCGTCGATGCATCTGCACAAGAAGTCGACATGTCAACCTGAGACCGAGAACTTCGGTCTAATCAATCGACGGGAAATTCTAAAATTCAGTCAAATAATTTATAAGACCCGTTGCACAAGAGGTGGCTGTCGTGGCCCAAGTGGTCTAGTGGATAACCCTTTGGGGTTTGAAACTATGGGCACTGGGTTCGAGCCTCGGTGGGAACATCATTACTCACTGGGGAATGCAGGTACATCCAGGTGACGAGTCCGAAATAGGACGAAATGTGCGTTGTGCTGGATTCTATTACTACTCACCATCCACCAATTTAGTTATAAATATACGTTTAATAATTCCGTATAATTAAAACGGGCGTAGATTTCATTGTAAACAAAGTAGAAAATCAATATCTCTTGGGAAATTAACATTGCCTGAGTGATATTATACCAGCAAGTATTTAGTCTGAAAATTTTCACGCCTCATTTTGAATTATTACTAAAGTAAAATGAATAAAGTATAGTTCAATCAGTGGATGTTTGATACTGATCAATGTTCAATGAGCAAGTTACACAATAAGTCTGTTAGATTTCAATTGACAACTTGTTCCTCATAAGTAATCAAACAGTAGCTTTGATTGGACACTAGTAAATAGTGTGATGTGTCTAGTTCTCTGTATTTGATGCATACTGAATTCTATCAGTCAGTCAGGTTTGCAATGTGGCCACTATACCATTAGGTAGCTCACCATCGCAGTGCAACTGTGAATTGTTGATATTAGATCGTTAGAGGCAATCAGCAGCAAGGCGTATCTGCAACTGCCTTGAAGGAACTCATGTGTCAACTAACACGAAACCTAACTCCAAGGCCTCTTGCTGATTGCCTTCAACTATCTAATATAAAGTGAAACTTACTCACTGTTGTTTTATGATAGTTCGGAAGTGGTCTATGTAACCCCTTCAACAATAGACAAGTAATTATTTGAAGTGAAGTGGACAGGTGACTGCTGTTTGTTTCAAGAAAATTTTTTTAACGGTTTAGTTTTTGTATGTTTTTTAATTGTTGGGATTATTCCATTTATCTAACATTGTCTTCTTTTGTCCAGGTAAATATTGTAGTCATATTTTCTTTGAATGACTCACCGCTTCATAAATTAAAAATTGTCTTTTGTGCCTTGTGTTAGTGATTCGTTTCAACTGTCATAAACACTAGTGGATACATTCACGTAGTTGAAATTGTAAAAAATAGGGTGGTGTAAACAAGTTGAGCAGTTAGTTTATCTATTTATTTATTTACTTTTTTTCATTCTTTTGCCTGATCGATAGTTCACTTTACTTTGACTTACAAATACCAACTTTATTGTTTGTATTCTGATCCCTTGACTTATTTAGGAAGTTTGGCGAGTTGTAATCAATTAATTGCTAGCAAAACCTTAGCATAGATACAAAAGTCGGTGGCACAGTGGCTAGGATGCTCGCCGATCATGCAAATGGCCTGGGGTTCGATCTCCTGCCGACGCACACCTTATATCTATGGTCGGCCTGCAAAATTTGGGCTACCGATATCACACGCTGAAAATTCCATACCTGTACCAAAAATACGGTGTGGAGTCAGGCTGTAATCAAAAAAAGTCTCGTGTGTCATTTTCCTAACTGAGTTTTTTTTAGCATGGGTGTGATATCCAGCTCTCTATCAAAGAACTTGTGTAGTACTCAACACTCGTAGATATGACAAGGCTAGTTGGCTTTGACCACTGATTTTAAGTAGTATAATATGGTGAATAGCTCTGGTGTCTCCTTATTTGTGGATAAATCTTTTTACGAGTTGATCACGGATTTATATCAGTTAGAGAGTCATTGAAAACAAGCAGGGAGTACCGGACAGATGCTGTTTCATCCTTGTTTGGGAATCCTTGGCAGTAAGCACCCACCACCAGAGTTCGAACCTAGGACCTTCCGGTTGCAAGGCAAGCTCGTATACCATTCAGTCACTGGGACCCGATTCCTTAATGGTCAGCCCATGAATTCTAACTTCTATCAATTCGTGATTTAGCGCGACCCCAATCATTGTCGTTGGTAGGACATCCATCTACACACGTGACATCTAACTGGACCTCACTGGTCACGGCTTGTCACTAGATAGATCTTTCACCTTTTACTAAAGATTTCCTTGGAGAGACACAATACAATGGGGGGTGGGTAAAGAGGGGAATCGATCAATAAGTTTGTGTAACTCCACCAATAGAAATCACTAGAATATGTGTCACTCATTTCGAACCATCATCTTCTTCATGAAGTAATGTTAGGTTGGAAAAGATACAGGGAGGCCAAATAAAAAATGCCATCAATTCATGAAGTCTTTGACTAATAGGGTTTGAGCTAACCACGTAGGAAGGTGTAGGCTATCTGATTAGACTCCCTGAATCAATGGTTACGTTGCTTAAATTCATTTTTAGTGGCTCAGGTGTTTCCACTTATAGTGACCAGTCAGGCCCATTAAAATCATCAATACTTGGTATGAGTAATTTAATGTAGATTGGAGCAACTTTTCAGTTTGATATTTGACTGACTAATATGTTTCCAGTTCATGGTGAATGTTCCCAGAACCATTTCAACTGTATACAGTCGTTACATCCCTAAGGCTTTCAAAATAAGGCCGAAATAATGCCAGAAGTAAAGATCAAGTGTGAAACTGCATTACTATCATTAGACAGGGTATCTGTTTATTCTTAGTAAAAGAGAAGCAACATTCACATGCGGTATTATTCATCTGACAAAAAGGCGAGCCCGAATAGCTCAACGGGTAACGTCTTTGATTGCAGCACTGGATGACGCGGGTTCGTATCTGAGAAGTTACATGAGTCACTTTCAAGGTGATTGGAGATAGGCCTTGCTGACTGGTGAGTGAGTGCCAACTAGCACAAAGCTTAGTTGGAAGGCTTCCTGTGTATCCGATCGCCTTCAACCATCTAATATCAAATAATGTAAATTTATTGTAAAATGCAAAGATTTTACATTGATGCCTTCACTTGTACATGCTCTTCGTGTTGGTCTTCCTTTCATGCTTTCTCTACTGTTTCACAAGACAGACACATGTTTGATTTCTCCTCTCTCTGCAGTTTAACCCGTCACTCTACCACTGAAAATTCTTGTAGAAGACTTGACGCACAATATACTACTTATCGACTCATTGTCAGTAGTACATTCTACACCAGAGGAATAAGAGTCCATAGGTTCAAGTCTTGTGTGTTTACAATTTTTTAGTCGTTGGCTTTCATTGTCTTAACATCAGTTTGTTTCAATAAAAAAAAAGATGGCGAATCGTCTCTTCTTGTAAATATGATCTCATTCACATGAAATATATGTTAATGACATTGAATCATTTAAAGGATGTTTAAAAACGCACATTTATTTTGTTTTTTTCTATATTCATATGAAGGACTGATTGAATATCTTTATTTTTTTGCACATCAATGAATATCATAGACATTATTTTATTATTTCACTTTGTGTTTTTACCTAAACAATAATTTCATGATTATTTAAGCAGAATTTATTGATTAATTACCACTATTTCATGTGTTGTGTCTCATTGAAGCGAGTAAAGATTAAATCAACAAACTGTAGACAGTTAGAGCCCTTATTGTGCAAATAAGCATATATTGAAGATAATTTTATGAATATAAAACTTTTTAGTGGTTATAGTGCAATGTTATTGCCTTGTCTTATCATCACCATTGTTAGTGAATGGGGTACTAAGATGAACTACATAGCTTTTGTTATATGAATTCTCTTCTTAATATTATTACTATTATTATTGTCCCCTTAGGTTCTGAGTGGAACATAAAGGCTTCATTAGCACATCTTCACTTTGTCCTGTTACCTGTGTTCCTCTAAAACTGGCCCTTTGATTGCCTATTGTATCTGATCTCCTCTTCTCACGATATCTTCCATGTCACACACACACTCGAGCCCCCGCCCAACTCATCGTTTACCACCTGCTTTCCACTCGATCAATGAATAGCCTGGTGTGCAATGTCACTCAGTGTGTGCCCAATCCAACTTTGTTTTCCTCCTATAAATATTTGTTGACCAACAGACTCTATGAGTCTGTTGGTTTTCAGAGTTTCTTGTTGCTAATTATTATCTTTCCCCGAGTCATCTGATCTTCACTATGATGAAGTCAGAGAAGGCAAGTGTTGATGAAAGTCTACTGTGGCCTGTAGGAGGAAATGCTTGCTGTGACTGACGCCCAGTGCAAGTTTCTGACCCGTATAGAAGCACTAAGTGACTTTACATTGGTGTTAAAAAGTTTGTTCTTTACGCTCAGTGTAGAAGATTTCCAAACTGACTTCAGGTTGATGAAGGTGTATCTT